AAAGTCAAATGTGAACAAAAAAATCTAAAATTTCAAATTTTTTCCGGATGGAAAATTATTCCATCAAACACACTTAATTAACAATTCCCTGCAAAACAATTTCTAGACAATTACTTTCCTTGGAAATCATTTTCTTTCCACCCATTTTCCACCGTCGCAATCAAATGCAACCTAAGTTTTAATGAATGAAAGAAATTGAAAAATTAGATCTTTGTTCAATAAATTTGAAATCATACCTAATAATAATTATAAAAAATAAAAAAGGCATATCGTTTTGGTTTGGCATGTCATCAAATGTGAAATAATAGACAACAAAACTTTTTTTCGGAATTTGTTACTGGGAAGAGATAACATCCAATTTCAAGTTGTCAATTATTTGTGGACCATGCTAGTGGTACATCAAGCTTTATATTGAATAAAAAAATATTATTTCAATGGGTCTCACCCCCCATATGAGGGTGGTGTAATCCTTGATGTACACCACTTGATGTACAAGTGGTATAACCCATTATTTATTGGGTGGTCAAGATTTTAGATGTAAATTTGCTTCAGCATTTTCGAGTAATTTTATTTATTGGGTGATCAAGATTTTTCTTCTTTGATGTTATTTTTGTTGTGCGTTCAAAATTTGTGATGATTTTGTTTCGATCTTTACCCTCACTAACATCACATTCGTTTCTCCAATTTATACAAGATAATTAAATAATCGAATCACAATAACCAGTTGAGATTTTCCTTGGCTGCGAACTCATGGCCAACAAGTGAGATTGACTAATTTAGCCTATGTTGCTAAGAATTAAAATTTAGATTTTAATATAAATCAAATCAATATTTAATTTTAATTACATCTTTCAAAGGACCCACAATTTTTCAACTACACATCTCATTAAGTTTATTAAAAATTGTTAAAAATCTAATTTTAATTCCCACCAAACAGTGTTTAATATAATGATGCGTGGATAACAGAAGTATGTAATTAGTAAACATGAATAGGTCTTTCCAGTTATTAAATATATTTTCTTCACAAATTAATTTAATAACGAGATTTACACTTTTCAGAATTGAATAAATATATTTAAACATTTTTTTAGTTTCAACTAAAATCAAATGAAAATAGTAGCATAACATCTTACTCTTGTCGGTCCAATTCTTTCAGCGTTACTCTTTAGATTTAAAAAAAAAAATTATTTTTTAGGAAACAATTTTTTTTTTTACTTTTTGGCAATGGAAACAAATTTTATAACTAATTGTGAAAAAAATTATCATTTTAATGGATAATTTCCATGTAAAACAAAACCAAACGGAGATAAAATTTTAAAATTTTTCGAGTGGAAAATTGTACCAATCAAATACACTTAATTAACAATTCTCTGCAAAATAATTTCTAATAAATTATTTTCCCTAAAATTCATTTTCTTTCCACTCATTTTTCACCATTGCAATCAAACGGACCCTATATCTAATTTTAATTCCCATGGGCTTAACTTTCAAGCTAAGCTTAGCTTGATATTTTCATACCCTCTATATTGTTTATGTTTAAAAAAAAAAAAAAGTTCAAGCTTCAATCAGACACTCGCTCGTGNAAAAATTTTTCAATTTAATGGACAATTTCCATATAAAATGAAGCCAAACGAATACTAAATTTTGATGAAAAAATAGTTTTCGAGCAAAAATTTTTTTTTTTTTTTTACTTTTTGGCAATGTTAACAAATTTATAACCAATTGTAAAAAAAATCATTTTAATGGATAATTTTCATGTAAAATAAAGCTAAACGTGAACAAAAAAATACAAAATTTGAAATTTTTTTCGGGTGGAAAATTATACCAATCAAACATACTTAATTAACAATTCCCTACAAAACAATTTCTAGGCAATTACTTTCCCTGGAAATCATTTTCTGTTCACCCATTTTTCACCGTCGCAATCAAACGCACCCGAAGTTTTAATGAATGAAAGAAATTGAAAAATTAGATCTTTGTTCAATAAATTTGAAATCATACCTAATAATAATTATAAAAAAAAAAAGGCATATGGTTTTGGTTTGACATGTCATCAAATGTGAAATAATAGACAACAAAACTTTTTTTCGAAATTTGTTACTGGGAAGAGAAAACATCCAATTTCAAGTTGTCAATTATTTATGGACCATGCTAGTGGTACATCAAGCTTTACATCGGAGGTTACACCCCCCTCACATGAGGGTGGGGTCCAATCGAATAAAAAAATATTATTTCAGT